ACCCCATCTGTGTACTATGTCAAGTCAGTTCCAAAAGGGAGTCCAAGTTTACTTTAACCGACAATACGCTTTTCTAGAACTGTAAAGTTCTATCTGCCCAGTATCTATTTTTTTTAGATATTTGACTTTTTTTAGTTTCACATGTCAAGGTGCCCAGCTTTTTCAAATGCAATTCTTTAAACATCTCACTAACGCCTCCGAACAATCTTACGATTTTGATAAAGCAGATATAACAATTGATTTCTGACCTCAAGGTCTTAGTAACCCAAAACAGCCGAAAACATTAGAGAACTTTGTAATTCTAAGATAGCAAATTGTTGGTCCTTTCTGGATATAAGAAAGTGTTATTTTTTCTCATTGTGCCTATTGCCTGTATGTCTACCATCTTGCAAGTCTATTTATTTGCCTGTCTATATAAAACCCAATATAATTTTTAGCACATTTATTTAACGTTTTGAAGAATTATTTGGCTGTTGTTTTTTTTTGCTTTGAATCAGAGACAAGAATCACAAAGAAAACGCTATGCAAATATTCAAGCTGTCAAACTCTGGATCTATGGGTTTTTTTCTTCCAGCCTTTTTCCCGGTAATCTCTTTCCCTTCTCTCACACTCTTGCCTTCTCCACTTTTCACCTCTGTCTCCTTTTTTTCTCTAATCTCACGATCTGTCTGTCTGTTTGTTTGTCTGTCTGTCTGTTTCTCTTTCTTTCTTTCTCTCCCCCCCCTCTCTCTCTCTCTCTCTCTCTCTCTCTCTCTCTCTCTCTCTCTCTCTCTCTCTCTCTCTCTCTCTCTCTCTCTCTGACTCGTTCTCCTGTCTTTCCTAATATCTCTTCCTCACTCTCTGTTCCTCCTCTTTCTGTCTATGTCCTCTTTCGTTGTCTCCTTATTCCATCTCTGTCTTCTCCCTCCACCTCCCTCCACCTCCCTACGCGTCTTTCTCTCTTCACTTCCACACTTTCTCTCTCATTGTCCCTCTGTCTATCCAAATTTGTGTATGATAATAACAAATATTATGCTTTTTTCTCTTGAATGAAATGGTCTAAATAATTTCCAGAATACAATTCTTGAAGAAAGAAAAAGTTTAGCAACGTTATCGTTTTGTGTGTTGTTTTTGTGTCTGAACTTGTCACTGCTCTCATTTAAAAGGTGGGCAATGAGTCGGTAGAAAAAGAGGACACACATGATAATGGGCGCAGAAGGAAACTAAGGATTTGGGGTGGTTATTGGTGTGTGATGAATTATCTATTCTTAGAAAAAAAGAAGTACAAAGAAAAAGTTAGCTCAAAAACTGATATTGGAAACTGTAAAAACATTTCAGAGCGCATGAAATGGGGAAATGGAAATCATGCTGATTCCATTTGTCTTTGACACAGTGTTGCTTGATTGAATGCCGCTGGATAAACAAGGCTGTGCCAAAAGATGCAAAAATGTCGTGGGACAAGCTCCTAAAAATGTTTTGTGAGACGCGGACACAAACAGGCCTAAAACGGACTCACAAGGCACACCTAATGCCCCTGATTGCATTTCTGTCTCAAGTGGGTCGAAATGAATTCCAAGTTCTAGGACATTTATTAGCAATGATCGTGCTTAGAACGGGATGTAATTTAATTGTCGCAAGGTTGTTTGAAATTGTGTGTGATCAAACATTTAGTACCACAAATGTTTACTCTCCGATGTGAGAAACATCTAATACTTAAAAGTTCAAAGAAAGATGAATCCATACTCAGGTACGTTTCACAAGAAATATTATCTTTTTCGTGTCTTAACACTTTAACAATACGGCAGCGGTTAAACAGAAAAATACAATAATACCCAAATACGATAACCACAATCGATACGGACCGTCCTCTACTTGGTTACTGGCCCCCAAGAGAGAATGTTGCTCTCCTCATACTGATGAGATAAGCATTTTCTGGGGTTTAATGTTTACTCGCCAGTATTTGCGAATAAGTATAGCCATTAGGTGAGTACTCAGCGTGGAGCATTTCGTTCTTTCTTTTTTACCCAGTTTTTTGGACTTTGTGGGAAAGGAATGGGGGTGAGGGAGGTGGTTTGTGGGGGTGGGGTAGAGATGAGGCCCAAGGATCTCCTTTAAGCTCGTTCGTTTAGAAAGCACAGCCTGGCCAATATTCGAGACAGTCTCGACTTCGTGTGTGTGATTCATATTTAAACCTCTGAAGGAGTAACTCTGCTGATCTAGGTCTTCTTGAGGTCGCGTTGATTATCAGCTTAAGCTGTTTTAGACCTACGCTAGTTCATTTTTACGATTTCTATATATGTGAAGTTTGGTTTAGGAACGTGCCAAAATTAGCTAAATTATTATATGTACTACAAACGTATAATAATATAACTTTCAAGATTGTGCACTTTGAAGTAATTCCAGATCACCACATAGATCTAGCCACTATTTGACTCAATATTGAACAAAATAAGGGGAAATAGGGAATGGTGCACGCGTTTTGGAACATAAGTGACATTGGTGGCGGTTTTTTTAAACCATAATTTCCTCTCTTATGGTACACAGCGGCGCAGCGAAGTTTTTACAGAGAGCATAGAATGGCTGGCATGACAGTGCCTTGTATAGGATATTATAATTTATTTTTATTGTTTTATTATTTTTACTCATTTTTTTTTATCTTTTTGGTATAGGCAATTTTTGCCTTTATACGATAACGCTTACTTAGTGAAAACAACATTTTCTCAGGCTCCTTTGATGAAATTTCAAGTCTGCTCTCTAATCTCCGTTAAGTATGAGCAACTGTGTATGACGGTCTGTGTGTGTGTGTGTGTGTGTGTGTGTGTGTGTGTGTGTGTGTGTGTGTGTGTGTGTGTGTGTGTGTGTGTGTGCTGGTCTGGGTCTGTGTAATACGCATGTGTATTTTACACGTTTCAACAAGTGCGTGGGTGTATTATCAATTAAAACTATAAGGCACTTTCCATTTTCTGAGAGGGTTCATGCGTGTGCGTGTGTGTTTTCGTATATTTAGCTGTTGAGGTGGGAGTGGACGCGTCTGAGGTTTGAAGGATTACCATATCTTCCCTTCTCACTTGCTTATAGTGATTTGCCTCATCATCATCATCATCATTAGGCCTGCTCCAATTTTCAGCTAAGCTCGCTTTTTGGGGAGTGTGTTTGAAAACATCACTCCCCAGAGATATATTGATATTGATTTCAGATTAAGATAGATGATTTATGGGCCCTCTCTCTCTCACAGTTGTGTGCCACAGATTCCTGGATATCCTGTGGCGACGAGGGCAGCTTCCATGCAACTGCCCAGCGAGATGTAGAGAAGAGGAGATTCGAGTAGGAGCCTCGCACACCATCGGTTCCTTCTCGCATTCAGAGGTTAGTTTGTGTATTAATTCCCCCTCCCTCTGCTAAACAAAAACCAGCAAAACAACCTTGACACCCAGTAAGTTATCGAATACACACTGTTTAATCAATTCCTCGTATCAGAAGCTTTGATGTTGACATAATAGGCTTTTATAGTATTTTTCTCTTGTCTTATCTAATACATCTCAGTCAAAATTAACAAAAATCTTCTGAAAACTAAAGCAAGACTGAATTAAGCAGATGTCCCCAAACCCCCCTCCCCGCTATCCCCTACTTCGTGTCCACTGCAACTTTGTGAATATTACAGCCAATAAACCAATAAGCAACTTTCCTGAATTATTTGTTTAGTTCTTATCCACAACCAGGGCAATTTCCAAGAGATACACCCAGTTCACAACCTATGTGGTACATCAATTATGTAGCCTTTCTAAACTGACATATAAGCTCTGGTTAGTCAGGCATGATAGGATTAAGTAACTTGAAAGTCTGGAATGGCTTCTAAAAAATCAGAGAAGTTTTAAAACGAGATGACGGAAAGCGGTCGTACACTTCGAGGACAGTGTTTCCAATAGATATGTGAGGCAATGAGTTCAAATCGTCAGTGTAATGAAATCGAAGAAGTCGGTATTTTGAATTTTTATTTTTTTGTTCCGCATCTTTTATGTCTATGATTTTACTGGAAAAACGGTGATTAAAGGAACAGAAAATGTAAATTTAGATTTCAAGGACTCTCAAGCTTTGAAATTAACCAAACTTTTGCCGTCATTTTCTCGCCAATGTTACCTCTTAAACCAGGCCTCTTTCAGCCCCAAACATCTCAACTTCCAAAGTTTGAGAACTCGTAGACCTCATGGGAAGACTCATAATATAATGATTGTACTGTTATTGTTATGAACAATACACATTGACTTGTAATTGTAGGCGCCTTACTCTCCCATTGACACAATTTAAATAATTTAGGAGCATGCTGTTTCGATCCTGACGTTACAAACGTTTTTCTTATGACATTTGAACTAATTGTGCATTATATATGAGTAACCAAGATGATCTGAATTACTGTTGTACAAAACGTCGACATCTGATAGCCAAAACCTTAACGAATGGGGATGACGACGACAATACGATGATGACGATGATGATGATGATGATGATGATGATGATGATGATGATGATGATGATGATGATGATGGTGACGATCATGATAAATAATACTGCACGTAGCTGCTCATAATGATGGTGATAATAAATCTTCCACTTCTGTTTCTGAAGATAAATGAAGACTGTAACGACAGAACTGGCTCCTTGTTGCACCAAGTGACCTTCCACATCATTACGATTCCTCTCACGTCTCACAGAGGCCAGTAGTTTGTCTTATACACCCCACATAGCATCTTCAGGCCCCGAGATGTAACGCGATTTTTTGGAGGACGATAACTGGACGAATGTTGGCTTGCTCTTTATTGAAGAGTTCGCTTCATTTGAGCTGGCGTATTTCCACGATCACGCCTGAACAGCGTCCCTCGTGCTCCGCAAACCGAGAGGAAATGCTAATTTAGCGATTGGGGGAGGGAGGAAGTCAGACGGAGGACCTTCCTGACGATAACTGTGCACGGAGGTTTTGTTAACACGTGGGATGTTTCCCTTCTTTAAAGCGGAGATGAAAATATGTACTAGTTATCAGGCTTCTGAACTGTTGACTTTTAACATTACCACACCTGATAATATCGTTGTACATCAGGTAAATTCCCAACATTTTTTTAAACCGAGAAACGTAGTTTTACATTACGTAACTCTTACAAAAGAAAAATGTTCTATTTTTCAGGAGTATATAACAAAACTGTTGGCTGCTTCACCTGCTGCGAAGAATGCATCTACCTTAAGGTACGGTATTGTACAAACATGTATCTGCAACCGTGCCTTCTCTAAATTGAATTTGCATGTCAGTGTACTAGAGTGCGCAAAACGAATGTCTATGTGTACTATTGTTTGAGAAGTGATAGATCTAACTTGGGCTAATTTTAAAAGTAACCGGGGAAAGAAAGAAACCAATTACAAAAACCTAAGCAACAATGCATTAAATACAACTCATGCATATCTCATCATAATTGTCCACGTTTCACATTCTGCACTGTCATGATACGAATCCAAATGCTGTCAGCAACAAGTCTGGTATTATGACTATCTGTCAAAATCTCTGAAGGTTACGGAAAGAGGAAAAATATAGGGGGTGTGGGGTTGTGGAGGGTCTCTTGGGAAAGAGGGAGGGGGGGGGTCCCTTGAAAGGTTATTCCTTTGTTTTCATTTCAGACACAATAGTTAAATCATGCACAATCGAAAAACAAGTTCACTGCTGATGACACTTCCCTGCTCCTTTCTTCTTCTCTTCAAACTGTTCTTACTTAAATTCGTTTATTTTTTGCAAGTATGAAATTAATACTAACGTTTGTAATTGTTCCCTCAGCAAATCTCTGACGAGAATACGAGTGACGTCTGTTGGTGCACAGTACGAGATCTGGACGCAGGAAGAGGAAATAACGGTGAAAAATGTTTTATTTTCTGCTTTTAAAAATCTCATCTTTCATTTCAATTTAACAGTCACATGATGGTATCCATGACTTCGCCATGATGCCGACTAATATTCTATCTGGAGGTTTGCTACTTCAATAGTTAACAAATCACGGAACCCTGGATCCTTGGGAGGGGTAAATGCTCTGCCAACACAAGCCTTTATGGCTATTCACCACTAAATTGTTTTTAAATTCACATTTCCTTTAAACGTTTTAGCATATAACTTTAACAAAGCTGACTTTCATCGTGTATGGCATGCATTGCCCCGGAGCCACATTTGAAAAAAAAAGTCTTTTATTTAACTAGATGTGAATACATGTTATTAGACTTGTGGACTCTTCAAAAGTAGTAAATAATTTCTTTGGGGATGTGTGTGTGTGTGTAGGGGGGGGGGGGCTAAGGGTAGGACATTATCACAAAAGTATAAAGTATGAAAAGTGAAATTAAAAAATATACCCGGAAATTGCGTATGATTACCCGTTAAATGGACAGCAATTTAGAACCAGGGAAAGTTGTATAATGATTCTAGTTTGCTCCGAAACTGTGCAAAGACTTTTAATTTTGTTTGGCTGGTCTCAGTGCAAAGTCTTTTTTAGTTGTGTATTCCTTTGTGGGAAGTCATTTGTCTTCCTACATAACTGTCCAGTTTCTGACCTTTCGATACCTATTTCAGAATGTACAACTTGGGGTGCCTATTTGCTCTTTCTATTTGCCGTATATCTTCTTTCTGTTCCTAAGTGTATATTAAAGTAATCCGTGTGTCCCTCCATTTATTGCTTTTTTCCTTTGTGTGTCTGTGTGTCTGTCCGTCTGTATGTACGTCTGTCTTGGTTATTAGCGCATACATAGGCAAACACACATGGCACACACACACACACACACACACACACACACACACACACACACACACATACACACAAACACACACACACACACACATTTGACTAATTGAAAGACACAATATGTAAAACAGAAAGACAGAACGATAAACAGGAGACAGGGAGAGAGAGAGAGAGAGAGAGAGAGAGAGAGAGAGAGAGAGAGAGAGAGAGAGAGAGAGAGAGAGAGAGAGAGAGAGAGAGAGAGAGACAGGCAGACAGACAGGCAGACAGACAGACACACAAGTGAGAGAATAGAAAAAGAGAAAGCTAGACAGTAAATAGGGATAGATAGATAGATAGATAGATAGATTGTTAGAAAGATAGAGAGATAGATAAAGGCAGAGTGAGAGAGAAATAGAGAGAGAAAGAGAGAGAGAGAGAGAGAGAGAGAGAGAGAGGGAGGGAGAGAGAGAGAGAGAGAGAGAGAGAGAGAGAGAGAGAGAGAGAGAGAGAGGGAGAGAGAGAAAGGAGATAAGGTGTACGATGTGCAAGCCAAGTATTATCACTGATAACATCAATTACTCCCATCCCTGGTCTAAAAAACAGTTTGATCTGACAACAAATACAGTAATTGTATTTTCTGTTAATATGCAATAGCCCACCCCACCCCATCCAAAAACACGAGGCTGACCGGTTATTGGAAAGAGCTATTCTGTAATCTCCCCGTTGGATGTTTTCTACTCGTCTCATCTCTCTTTTCTCCACTCCAATCCTCCCTTGCCCCCCCCCCCCAAAAAAAAAAGAGAAAAAAACTCGTTTTTTTATGTTACTCCACAATTCAACAGACATTTTAAATAACATATTTAAAAAGTGAACAACAACAAAAAATACCAAACCAAACCGAAACAAGACAAACCATGAAGCACTCACTTGAAAAATAAATTACCTAATCAACAAACATTCTCAAGTAACATAAACTTCTTTGCAACAGATTCTTGGACTGTTGTTACAAGTGGGCGCTCTGTCGGCCCTCACAGTCGGTATCTCTGTGGTCACGGTTCTGGAACTGCTGTTGCTAGCAGGGAAGACTTTGGTTGAAGCGTGTCGAGCGCTAGGGAGAAGGTGAGCTGTTTTTTATTTTTAACGATGCTGCATTGAACAGTGAGCATTAATCATTACTTGATAGTAATTTATATTGTGACAGTAACTTATAATAATAAAATGATTATTTCACAGTTCCACACACAGAAATTTCTGCATCAATCGATGGAACAGTCCATTATTTGATACTGAAAGCTTTATTGTACACCCCCACCCCCTCCCCGATAAGTCACATGTTAAGTAAGTGGAGAAAATGCAAATTCAAATTAGGAAAGTCCGTACCTCACAGACAGCGTGGAATTTCTTTTACCTACATAATATAAGCACACGAATTTGATGTTATATACTTTGAATAATTTGTGGAGAAGAAAATTGGAAATTTAAGAAATAAAAAAAAAGGAAAAAATTCATGAAGGAAAAAAACAACCGAAACAGCTACTTATCTGTTTAGTCCACTACTTGCAGAGTCTTCCCATTTTTCCCACTTCCAAAGAGAGAATCCGGCTTTGATTCTTAATAATGAGGGCAACTTGATTTCTACTTGTTCAGAACAACCTGGGATGTTTTGGATACTACATCACAACACAAAAAGGGAGAAGCTCGTTGAAAAGAATACCCGATAATACACCCCACCCCCTCTAACAAAAGCCATCACCACCCCCCCCCCATACCAAACAAAGTAAGAAGAAAAAAATTGGTTAGAAACCGAACTTATGTCTTCTAACCAAGGGTGAAGACCCTACACTTTTAACAACAGACGCTAGTGAAAGTGCACAACAGTGACTGATTCTCGTAAAAAAGGCTAAATTACGTATGTGGATGTTGTTAGATTCGTACCAAACGTTAATGCCCTTCGTAATATACTTAAGTTATCCATGAACTGATACTAACACAATTACAAGTTAGTATCTAGCATAAAAAACTTGTTCTCAGTATAGGTATTGAGCATACTTATTCATAATATGTAAATTCTTGGTTCACATCCCCATCGCTACGATTTTGATCTTGTTTTCATATTATTGATTTAACTTTAATGCCTCCTTCTGAACACTTTAAACCGAACAGAATCATGTACCAAATGGTCCACGTGTTCAATCAATGCTATGCATACACCTTGCATTGCTTTAACAGAGGGTTGAGTTGTTGACATATGAAAAAATCGTATTAAGAAATAATGGACAAAGAAAAAAAATTAAAATCCGTATGATTCCGCCCTAGCTTCATCCTCAGCAGTGATTTTCTTTAACTTTCATCTGACACTTCCTTTTTTCTGTAAATTTGAAAGCGTGGTGTGATTAAAATAAAATGTTTAAATTCTCATCTTCCTGTGCAGTGGTCATGACAACGAGGTGGAGCGACTGTACCCTTACGAAGACTTGGACGCACCGCCAGAGTTTCAAAATCTAGATGCCAACTGGTACACATGCTCAGCTGACCTCTCCAGGGACACCTGGCATGGAACCTTAGCCACTGACAATGACCAGCATCTGTTACAAGGCGGACAACGAAAGTATGTTGTTTCTAGAAGCAGTGGCACCGATGGCGTACCATATAGCGTTGCTAGAAATAGTGGCCCTGGTGGACTACCGTACAGTGTTTCAAGAAACAGTGGTAGCTATGGCGCACCATTTTCTGCTTCTAGACACAGCGGTTCTGTGGGCGCTCCTTACGCTATTTCTAGAAGTAGTTCTGGCACGGGGCCACACGCTACCACCATAGAGCACTCCCGGACCGCTCACGCCTACAGCAATCGGAGCTTCATCCGAACCAACATCACATCAGTACCGGAGCGTGGCAGTTTAAATCCCCTTCTTGAAGAAAGTGGAGATGCGGATGACAATACACACGCTAAGGATGATAACCTTGCGACTTCTCCTGAAGCACTGTACGTTCGACCCTGGGATCTGTCCGGTGTGTCGAGGCCTTACCCCAAGATTCTCGTTTCTTCACAAAAGAATAGTGCATCAGATGTCCCAGTTCCCAACGCGCCAGGCAGATCTCTTAGGGACCATGCTGACCCAGAGAACGTGGTCCTGGAAGATGCCGACTTTGTACCATTCTCACAATCGGCCCTGAGGCTCAATCTTCCCGATGATCTGAAAAACGGGTCTGACGACGAAGACGTTGCGGATATCAATAATGAAAATTTACGCGGGGGTCATGCCAATCAGTCAGCGAATGATTCACGATATTCGTCTACAATAGATGACCCTGTAACCCATGGGGATCATTATAATGTCAAACGTTGGGATAAATCTAGACAATTATCCGATACCAAACCGATTTATGCTGTTTCAGATGGCCAATTACAAAGCCTTGATACAGCTGGTTTAGGGGCAAGCAGTAAAACCTATCAGAGCTCCCAGCTTCAAATTAAAGATGAAATTAATTATGGTATCTCGGGTGAAGAAGGACGAAAGACAGGCAACGTTTTGGACGGGGGGCGTTCCTCCCAACATCGACAGGAGTGGGGAGGTAGGGACACATTAGAACCTTCATACTACATCTATCAAGGAAGAGCGGCCGCTGAAACACAAGAATCAATCTTTGTTATTTAGGCTCACACATACACTTGCATTATATTCTTATCTTAGACCGGGCTTTGTCGTGGTTTTCCTTCTTAGCCTTCGACCCCACCCCCTCCCCCTGCCAAAACTCTGCTGCACTGGGGCGCACTATTGAGCAAGAAGGGCAGAACACCAGTCTCGTTATAGTCAACTCCATGTGGGTTCTCTTTCTCTCCTTGCTTTTCATTCGGTTCCAAATAGAGTCAAAATAATGGACTGCTTCATAATGAGAGGGAAGTACGTCACAGTGCAGTCTTGGTTATAATTATTCTACAGGTCTATGGATACACAGAACAAAGGACCCCTTAGCAGATCTATCAAGGGGGGGGGAGGAAGTTGGGCCGGGGAGGTTGTGGGTATGTGTGCTCAACATTTTAAAAATACGTGGCATCGTAGTGAAATCGGGGGCTCGTGAAAATAATGAAATTGATGTAACCGACATTTCCCGCCTGTCGGCCAATTTTTATTGATTTCTTTTGGTTCAGCACCTTTATGTCTATTTAAAAACACATTTCGGTTTGGCTTTACTGAAAGAAACGTTGATCAAAGGCAGAAAAATATAGGTTATCAGTTTTCAAGGACTCTCAAACTGTGGAAGTCACAAAGATCTATTTGACATTTTCATCCAAATGTTCCCTCTATAACCAGGCAATCCCCATCTTTTTCAGTCGCAAACCTCTCCTCATTTTTTAAAGGGGTATGGGCTGTAATTTATCACCTAAAGCAAGACAAAAACACAATATTTAAGTTGAGACTAATAACGCATTATGCCAAAACATTAACGAGTTCATAATTCCACCGTGTTGTAAGACAACTACTTCGTGAGCGCCTTAATTAGATAACTCATAAACGGACGTGAACGTCTTGATTCAATAACTCATACACAGACATACAGACACACTGTAAATAAAGCACAGAAATAAGAAGAATAAGACAACAAATACACAAACGTCCTCTTTTAATTTGCTATATTTGATTTTAAAAAGATTTAGTCTTTTTAAAGAAAGACAAATTCAAGGACACCAGCTATTTGATTTACAGGTTTTCTACGACTTAACATAATTCATATAACCTATTGACATATGTGAGGCAGCGTGGTGGAATCAGGCTCTCATCAATTTTTGGGCATGTAGAGTTATTGGTATCATATTAAAGCTTGTTCAATTGTCTTTATTTGGATGAAAAAAAATGTCCATTTATATTGAAAACAAGTGGAGATATTTGCAAATGAAGGAGGTGAGGGTCACCTGTTTTCAGAGGTAAAATTAGTGAGAAAATAGCCGCCAAAGATTAGTTCTTTTCTTAGCTTAAGAGTCCGTGGTAACTGAAAATTTACATTTGTGTGCCTTTAATCAACGTTTTTCAGAAAAATTCACACAGAAATGAATTTTGTAATGGGCATGAAAGGTGTTGAGCCAAAAAACAAAAATTTGATAAAAATTCACAACCCTGCGGAAAAATGCAGGTTTCTTCACTTTGATTATTTTGACGAGAGCCTGATTCTACCACGCTGCCTCACATATTATAACTAGCGACTGCTGATTCTGCAAATATTTCTCATCGTTAGTTTTTCACCAGCGTTAGGCCTAATGATTCATGTTAAAATGAGACTAAATGCCCCGTGAGATTATTTTGCCCGTGAGTTTTTCGTCTCTTTGTAGAGGCATTTGTCTGTGTTTTCATGTATTTAAATAAATAAGTAAACACTGCTTTTCCAATCCCCCCGCCTCCTTTTCTCTCTCTCTCTCTCTCTCTCTCTCTCTCTCTCTCTCTCTCTCTCTCTGCAATATTACATTTTAATCTCTCATTTTTGGTGTACAGTGTCCATATGTCTTGTCTTCGTCTTTATAAATGTGGATGAAAACATATACAATTTGAAAACGTTTATTTATGGATTGAATAAAATAAACTTAAGTTGCATCAGAGAAAGTCTTTCTATGTATTTTATTGCGAGTACATTATTCAATAAAGCACACATAAACTTTATATTCTTTATCTAAATTGTGGTTGTAAATTTCAACTCAGTACAAGGCTCATTGCAGACAGACAAACAGTAACACACACACATATTCAAACAGACACAAACACACACACATGCACACACACACAC